TTGGAAACTTTAAAACTGAGTAACTCAGAAGCAAGAGTTCTTGAGATGGAACTTAGTTTCTACTTACCTTTTGCCATTTGGGATGTAGAGAAAGTTTGTTATAAACTCCAAATAAACCTGTCACAGGTCAGAGGGAGAGGGAGGCTAAGTACCATAGAGTAGAACTAAGACTGTGACTCTTCCAAGAATGCCCCACCTGCCCTCTTGACGATACAATCCTTTGTTCCCTGAAGAAATCCATCCAAAGCAGTCAGTTCTTCAGGCACCAAAACAATCCAGACTCCATTACCTACTCAGTCCCTCCACTTCAAATTCCCTTTCTTGGCCCCTCCATTCTTTAGCATTTTACCTAAGCTTTAGGAACTCCATATCTTCTCTTTGGGCATACCCTAGTGCCTTAATCCAGGCCTTCTATCCTGCACTCACTTGGTGATGTCTTCGGTGAGAGCTCATCTAGTCGTCATGTGATTCTCCCAAGTTGTCTTACACATTTCTCATTTAGAGAAGCTGCCTTCTCATTCCCAGGGAACTATCCTGCCTCTTCAACTCAGTTATAAGTTTGTTAAAGTCAGTAACTGGCTCCCATGTTTCTTATATGGAATATGTACTTAGCAACTAAGAGTTAAAAAGGAAGATGTCTAAATGAGAAAAATGACTGAGGAAAAAAGAACTTGAGGGAGCCGGTATAGTCCCAAAGAAGCACAGACATCTAAAACAAACTCTTCTAACTCACCTCCTTCATTCATTACAATGAATCATGCACTAATTTCTCTGACTGAGTTTTTCACATATTAAATCTCCCTACTGTTAAATATGACCTCGGCAAATTCTTAAAAATACAGTTCAAGAGATGGAATGCGGACAACATGATAAGTCTCTTATGGATATAAATGTTGTTCTATCTATTAGTATTAACACAGGCATCTTGCAGCAATTTTTAAATTTTGTAAATTAATCTCTTTAGTCTTGTATATTAACATAGAAAATGATAAATATTAAATAAGAGGACAAGACTTTCTGACTAGAAACATTGGAAGTAAAGAATGGTTGAGCCTAGGTCAACTAGGCCCTCAGCGTAAGTGTTAGAAGGTCCTGGGTGTCAGATTCTTAGCTTAAATACTGTAGCAGAGAACCTTGATTTTGAGACTCTGAACTATCAGTTTCAGGTGTATGAACATTGACAGGTTTCTCAGTGTCTGATTACCAGGTGTTTTTTGTCTAAAAAAGAGTCTTGAAGGAAATTATATAATATATGCAAAGATATTTGTTTATAGAAAGGCATAGTTCTCATTATTATTTATTACCTAGCTACTTAACTTAATCTAAAAGCTAATATAGGGCTGGAAGGTGGTTCAGAGTGTAAATGCTCTTGCCTCTCAGCCTCATGACCTCAGTTTATTCCCAGGACCCACATAGTGGAAAGACAGAACTGACTCTTGAAATTTGTCCTCAGGTTTCCACATGCATGTAGACAGAATGAAACGTGAGCACGCGTGCACGCACGCACGCACGCACACACAAAGAGAGAGAGAGAGAAATAAGTAAATGTAAACAGAGTTTTTAAAATCTTTAATCTTCCTATCCTAAAGATTTGAGCCATCATATTCTAAGGAACAAAATAAGTAAATGTAAACAGAAAGTTTTTAAAATCTTTAATCTTCCTATCCTAAAGATTTGAGCCATCATATTCTAAGGAACAAAATGGCACACTACTACCTTGGTAGCCTCTTAGTCATATATTTATATTCTGGATGAACAAAATGAGTGATCTCCAAGGCAGGTGTGGCGTCATGTGCTTATCAGCCTGAGACCCAAGAGGTAGGAAGAGGCAAGAGAATTCTGTATTTTTAAGAATTTTAAGCAAGGTCCAGGAAAGCTTGAGCTACATAGCAAGACTCTATCTCAATATACACCAATCAATTAATTAATCAATAACAAATCCCTGGATGCCAGCATGCTCCAGCCTTTGCAGCTTTCCTGAACTCATGTGACCTCAACAAATGACAAAGATCCTGCCGTACAATTAGTCATATGCAGCAGTATGGGGAGAGAACAGAGTCTCCTTTTATTCCTGGGATTTCTCCATGGATGGAGAGGTGAGCCTCTGATGTACGTCAGGACTTCTCCTCCTCCAGAACCATCTACCTGCTCTTGACTCTATCCTTCCTTCCTCCATTATTTGGGTTACTCCAGCTTTCACAGTCGTCCGTCACTCCCCACCCTCTATTGAAAGAATCAGCAGGACCCCTCCCAAATGACCCGCATCCACCTGGGAAAGGTACCTCAGGCACTGTCCTGAGGTCAGTGGGTTTTGTCCAGGGGAAGAAAGCAGGCATCTGTGGGGTCCGGCTCTGGCCGGCACAGTACAGTGTGAACAACCAGCTGATCTGACACATACTTTCCACATACAAAGTCATATGAGTGGGAACAAATCCCTCCTTTTTAAAAAGCAATGCAGTTCATGTGCTTGATTGGGAAAAAGTAGCAACACTGAATAAAGTATCCAAGCTGGCTACTCAGAGCTCCATCCTAGACAGCATGGTTACAGACTTTACATTTTGCCCAACAGAGTGAAAGGGCCCCAAGGGATCAGACCCTCTCAGTTAGCAGATGATCTCACCAGGACACACAGAGGAAGTGACATACTGAACATTACCAGTAAGTGACAAAGCTTGGAGACAGAACACAGGGCTCTTCAACTCTCCAGACTCAGCTGCATCCAGAACCAAATAAACATTTCAACTGACTGTAACTCCTGCAGCCCAAGGACTCCACAGCCGTAAACCACAACTACACTCAACCCACACGGTATTGACTGCCCCGAAAGAGTGCTTTCATGAGCTCTGGCTTTTGCTATCATACCATGCTACTCTCCCCAGTGAGCAGAGGCTTGACAAATACTGAGAGCGGATTGGCTGATTAATGATTGCATACATAATAATGGATACAGCTTCCTTCCTGAACTCATAGCCAAGGCAGCTCCACTAAGTGGCCTCTTCTCCCCATTTCTTTTCCCTCTCACTTGCTTATAAGTTTTGAGAATCATCACGAAACATGTCAAGGAAGCAATTACTTCGGAATTTACCCTTTCAAAAGGCAAAAAGCACTGAAGTCCACAGGGGACATTTTCCCTGAACCAAACACAAACCGGAAAATGTGCAGTGACTCGGATTACATGCAGCGCTCCTGAGGGCTCTAATCTAAGGGTCCATCACTGTGTCAAGAGCTATTTTCCTAGCTTCCCAGAGAGAAGAGATCAGAATCCTTTAATCCAGACAGGAGGTGAGTGCTAGGCAGAGATCTTAGGCAACAGGCATCGGCAAGTAGAGGATAAACTCTGAACTGAAGAGATAGACAAGACAATATTAATATTAGGAGCCCAAGAGGTTGTGTGTGGCAGGGACAGCCCAATGGGGTAGGATGCAAAGCTTCATTTTGCTTGAGTACCAAGGACTTCTCCTCAGGGTCTTACAGTAAAAGCAGACATATATCTAAGCCTCAATGAGCGTTTAGTGCAGAGGCAGAGAGAAGCAGGCATTCCAAACTTTCTCTCTATGAACATACTACAGGATGTATATCTACTAATATTAGACAACATATATGAACATGCATACACAGAAGTGTGTATGTGTGTGTGATTGTATTATTTATGCATGACCTGTGATTCCAGGGCTCCTCACAGAAATTGGGGTATAGTGTTAGCAACTATCACAAATACTCAGAACTTTGACCATGCATTTATTTGACCCACAGTAGACAATGAGATATGTAGTATTATCACGCAGTAGCATTAGTAAGTAGGGAAGCCATATAAAGAGTAATATCTAGAGCAATGCCTGTTCACACTTTCTAATTCATCCTTCCCAGTAGACCAGAAGTCAGAGAGGCCCATGCAATTTCCAGCAATTCAAGTGACTCTGAGGACCACATGCCATTTTTATTTTTATTTTTTCGGCTAATGGAGCAAGAGGAGGCACATCCCTCTTAATTTGATGTGGCTCTCCACCCAGGAGGCAGCTCCCTCTAGCCACTCCTCCAAGTCACCTTAATAAACTCATCAGCCCTCAGCAAGCTGCACTTTCCCATCTCAGTCAGAAAACACAGATCAATACACACAGCAGAAGCACTTAAGCTCTGCTCATAAACTCTCCCGAGTAAATGTTAGGTACATTCCCACGCCAAGCTGACGCAGCCTTCTTCCGGAGGCAACATTGCCAAGGCCTGGGAACTACTGGGCAGCAGAGGAGGAGGGAGAGGGCACCAAGACCGCGAAGCAAACTGAACCCAGAGTCAAGCCCAAAGCTAACTGGCTTACAAGGTGCTGGGGTTGTCCTTGCCTGCTTCAAAGCACTAAGAGCAACAGCTTCCTTAGCATAATTAAAAAAATCATAGGAGTTTAAAGTAGGTCAGCAGTTCACACACATATAAATGCCAGTGTCTTCTGGCCAACTGTAGATGGGAGAGGAGTGTCTTACTAACTGGGAAGCTGAACCGTCACAAGGGCCACCGTGAGCCTCCTTGGCTTCTCTAGAGGAATCTGAGAAGATAACTTTCAATCAGTCTAGAGACAAAAAATTAAAATGATTTTTTTTATAAATCCCACAGCTGCCCTGGAAGGAAATCAAACAAACATCCAAGCACAACTCTCTGAATTTATATTCAAAAGACCCGGAGCAAAGGATGCTGAGCACGGAGGGGAGGCATCTTGAGATCTATCTGGAGCCACCCTTAGCACCTGTTTGTAAGCACGCGTCTTGAAATAGCATTCAGCAACAAGTTTCTAAAATGGCAAATCTACTGCTGCCTTTCCCTGAGAGTGCTTAGTCACGCTAATCCTCGGACCCAAAAAATCCTTTCATAGAAACCCGCTGGATGAAGCCGAGCCGTGCTTTCCGTGTCTGCAGCCATGGCAGCAGCCGCAGCAGTTAGCAGCAGTCCCTGAGGCAGGGGAAGGCTGGAGTGGGCACTGCTGGGCCCCACCTCCTCCCCAGCACACTCACCATCAGCAGGCTGAGAGCGGAGTCCGGCACCAGCTGCACTGCCATGGTCCCTGATTGCGACTCCCATGCACAGATGCTTCTGCTGAATCAGTCTGCCTGGGCCCAGGGCAGCTGCAGAGCATCCACCAGCACCTAGAGCAAAGCAGCCGGACATACAGACTTAGGGAGCCGAGGGCTCAAGGTGAAGCTAGGCCACATTTCCTGTGGGGTGGGGAGGAGGGCAGGGGGGATGTTGGGAAGATGGGGTGGGAACTGTGCTTAGGAAAAGAAAAAAAAATACATATGGAGCAGAAGGCGCATAGCAAGCTGCAGGTTATTTAAAGGTGAGCTCTCCCTAGCTTTTCTAAGCTGCATGCAGAAACCGCATCCAACACAAATGCAACACAGGAGCCCGGAACGCAGCAATTCTAGCTGCTACCTTAGCCTAGGCAACAATTCTGCTTTGAACCGACAATTAAAATAAAACATTCCCCATTGCAGATAAATCAGCCAGCCCGACCAACACCCCGCCTCCCTGCATCTCTCAGCAAATTCTGCTGCATAAACATGCTGAATGTCACAACCTACCGGCTTGCAATCTGGTCAGCTGCGTTTCTCTGCTGCAGAAAGGTGTGTCTCTTCTGCTAAAGCAAGTATCTAGGAGAGAGAGGGCCGAGTCTGACCAGGAGGCACCAGGCAGTCACTGGAGATGAGCAGATGCCCTCATGATAAGTGAGGACCCACTCACTTAGGAATTGACCCTTTCCACCTTCTACTTTCCCTCTCCAAGTAGACTGCAGGCACAGCTCCCTGCAGGGCTGAGACTTAGGGAGAACATGGAATTATGCTGGCTGTTCTGTGAGCGTTCTGATCCCCTGCCTGTACCACATGTACGCAGCCAGACACCCTCTACCTCTCTCTCTCTCTCTCTCCCTTCCTCCCTCCCTTCCTCCCTCCCTTCCCTTCCCTCCCATCGCTCCATAGGGCTGCCTGTTAGGAATTTTGAAGGATCCTCCCTCGTGCAGGAGAGGGAGGGCAGAGGAGGCTAATTTGTAAGAAAGGACACTGCATAAGACAAAAAGGCAAATTAGCCTTGAACAACCCTATCACTGGGGGTACTTTCCCTTGAAGATGTCAAAAAACAAAAACAAAACCCAGGAGGCTGCCACCAGGTTCTGTTATATACCATATATACCCTGTGTTCAGTGCCCCTAAAGTCTTCCTCCAAATGAAACACATCAAGGCATCTTTACAGGAGCGTGGTGAAATTCCTAGCCTGGATTCTCATTCAATTCAAAGTGTCAACACTTCTGGCAGCAGTTTTTAACGTCCTTTTTTGATCCCTGCTTTCACTCACCTACTGTAAAGACCCCTAAAATACCTGGAAATGAACTGGATGGTGTGAAATTCAGGGACAAGGAAACTGACATTGTATATTAGAAACCTTCTTCCTATGAATAAGTACAGCTGTAGTCTCTATATACTTTATATGTGTATGCTTGTGTGTGTGTTCACAAACACATGTGCAGATGTGTGCACATGCATGTAGAAGCCAGAGGATAACCTCAGATGTCATTGCTTAGGCTCTGTCCACCTTGTTTTTTGTTTTGTTTTCAGGGATTTTTGGCTTTTCCCTAAGTAAGTTAGACTAGACATTGGGGAGTCCCAAGGCTTGGCTAGCCTTACCTTCCCAGCATGGGACTTAAAAGCGTATGCCACCATGCCCAGACTTGTATATGCAAGATCTGGGGGTGCAACTCAGCTCCTCATGCTTGCAAGACAAACACTTTAATGATAGAGGGAATCATCTCCCAGACTTCCAGACTCTCTAAGGCCGTGGTTCTCAACATGTGAGCCATGTATCATTCAGAGATATCCTGCATATCAGATATTTACATTACAATTCACAACATGGCAAAATTACAGCTATGAAGTAGCAATGAAAATAATGTTATGATTGGGAGTCACCACAATATGAGGAACCATATTAATGGGTCACAGCATTAGGAAGGTTGAGAACCACTGCTCTAAGGTGTTTATATGGTCACCGTAGAGCAATTGCTAAAACATTTTCTTTGAATGAATGAAACAATGCTTCTCTAATTTCTCCTATGGTGACCTGATGACCCTGAATCTTTACTCAATGTTACTTGATTGGGTTCAAACACCATTGACCTCAGGTGTCCCTGAGAGAATCACTTCCAGTCACCAAGGACCTGAAGATTCAAAGCAAAGGTTCATGACTGTAGCCTTGCCTGGAACTGTGAGGACATTCTGGACATGCTAGAGAGGGTCCTAATACCTAAAACTTAATATCAGTAGTCAAGAAATGATAACTTCAGAAACACATCTTGGTACTGACTTGGGGACCCTCCCTCTGACCCACCCTCACCCATAACCTCCTGAATGCTCAGTTCATCCTTGTTCAGTGCCTGTGTTGCCCTTCTGCTGTCGAAGAACTTTTGATCTTCGAGGAGGTGAGGTGTGCACCGGAATTACTTACAGATATTAAGAGATGGAAAATACTACCCAGTGACTTCAAAACAAGTCTTTAGGTAGCAGTGAGACAAGAAATTCCTTCCGGCTAGATTCTGAGATGAGCCCCAAGGAATAACAAAGTATCATTTTAATATTTCTGTTCTGCTTAGTTCTATGTGGACGATGCTCTTGTGAAATATAGAAAGCAGAAGAGTTGAAGCTACTTCAAGTGGTGCATGTGGACAGAGAGCAGGCTTATTCTCCAGAGACAGGCAGGGGTGGCTTCAGGTGTGGAGAAATCCAGGTTGATAGAAAGGCTGGAGAGGTAGGCCTGAAAGATTGAGTCTCCATCATGGCTGCAGCTCTCGGCTCTGGGCCCTTGTTTATGGTTTTCTTTTGTTTGGAAAGGATTTGTCCACTTACAGCCCAGATTCCCTCAGCTAATGAAGGAATGCAACAAGTCTCTTGTGTGGACCTCAAGAAGGAACAATCTCAGGGCTGTGAGAGTGAGGGAGCAGGGAGGGTGAGGCAGGAATGGAGTCCCAAGGTAAATTTCCCCCACCTCAGCCCAGTGTACAGGATCAACCAGTCCCAAAGCCTGGCTGCAGCATGAGGGGGCAGAGGCAGCAAACAGCACTATGAACTGAAATGACCTTGGCAGCAGCTAGGGCCCCACAGTTAGAAAGTGACTGCATTTTAGGGAGAACACGGGCCCAAGAAAATCTGGGAAGTAAGTAAATCAAAATCACTAAAAATATATGTATTGTATTGCTTTCAATGTCAAATTTTTCACACAGGGTAATAAAATAGTTCTTGACTTCTCTGGGCATTTATAGGTGCTTTAAGTTATTAATACTTTTTGTTTTTGTTTTTTGAGACAGGGTTTCTCTGTGTAGCTTTGCACCTTTCTTGGAACTCGTTTTGGAGACCAGGCTGGCCTCGAACTCACAGAGATCCACCTGCCTCTGCCTCCCGAGTGCTGGGATTAAAGACATGCGCCACTACCGCCCGGCATTAATCCTTCTTTGTACCTTTTTTCATTTACTTTTTGCCAATTTTATACATATGTACAATGCACTGTGAATACGGTCACTCACTATGATCTCCTAACTGGAGAGGAGGTGAGGTGTGCACAATGTCACAAATAGATAGATACCCTTTGCCTTTGCGTATTCTCACAGCTCAAAGCACAAGCATGAATAGCAGGAGATGTGGTCAGTGATATTAAGTTCAGAAATGACAGAGGTGTCAAAATATTAAGTATAAAGAGTCAGGAGTAAGGACACTACTCTAGAAGAGGGTGGAATGTGGGGAGTGGGTGAAAAAGTAATAAATGGAGAGTGGAGGAGCCATTGGAGGCTCTGAATCAGTGGAGACGGGGACATTAAAAAAAATCAAAGCAGCTGTGGAGCAGATAAGGGGATGAAGAGGTAATTTATATTGAATATGCCTTTATCACAAAAGTCAGCTGAGTGGTGGTGGTGCAAGAATTTAATCCCAGTAGTCAGGAGGCAGGGGCAGGTGGATCTCTGTGAGTTCAAGGCCAGCCTGATCCACAGAGTGAGTTCCTGGACTGCCAGGGCTACATAGAGAAACCCCGTCTTGAAAACTAAACAAACAAACAAACAAACAAACAAACAAACAAAAGTGATCAGTCAGGTAGTGGTGGCACACACCTTTAATCCCAGCAAGGCGGGTGGATCTCTGTGAATTCGAGGCCAGCCTGGTCTACAGAGTGAGTTCCAGGACAGCCAGGGCTGTTACACAGAGAAGCCCCGTCTCGAAAAACAAAAACAAAAACAAAAAAAGCAGTGACCAACAGATGGGATGTCACACACTCTGGAGTGGTCTTAGGGTTAAGGAAGAATGAAATCCTGTTGGTTTTAGTTAATGGAACAGGAATCATTATGTTAAGTGAAACAAGACATACTCTAAAAGACAAGCATTATGATTTTTCTTTTTTTTTTTAAAAAAAGACAAGACAATAGAAGGGGGGTTGATTGGGAAGGTGGAGGGGGGGCGAGTATACTCCAAGTACATTATATACATGTGTGTAGAGCTGGAGAGATGGCTCAGCAGTTAAAAGTCACTATTCACACAAGCCTGACAACTGAGCTTGATACCCAGAACCCATGTAAACAGCCAGATATGGAGGTGTGCTGCTGAAATCCCAGCACTCTTGCAGTGGCTGAGGCAGGAGAATCCCCCTGGAGCTCTAGGGCCAGTTAATCTGAATGAGGCTGAGCAACAGCAGAAAATAAGAGAGTCTCTGACTCAACAAAGTGGGAAGACAGGAACTTACTAATAAATTGTCCTCTGACCTCTACACATGTATATCCCATCCTTACAGACACACACATACATACATACATACAAAAACACACACATACACACAGATAAACATATGCACACATATACATACAAACACACACATACACACAAACATACACAGACATACACATATAGGCAAATACACACCAAAAAATTAATGAATTAAAAAACTTACAACTAAAAAGGTAGGGCAATGTCACATCCGTCAAGAGTCATTACAAAAACTAGCCATTGGGCCATTAAGATGGCTCGGCAGGGAAAGGTGCTTGCTGCCCAGCCTAACGAGATGAGTTCGATTCAAGGAAGCCACATGATAGAACTCTATCTTTTCATAAACGTAAGACTCAAACATTATTTCTTCTACTTAAAAAAGTGTGTGTGGTGCGTGCATGTGTGTGCGTGTGTATGTGTGTTTGGGGGGTTAACATGCCATGGTGTGCATGTGGAGGTCAGAGGACAACTTGGTGGAGTTAGTACTCTCTACTTTTCATGGGAATGAAAGTGATTGCCAGACTTTCTCAGCAAGAACTTTCCTTACTGAACCATCTTGTTGGTGTCTGTTAGACCTTTCTTTGGACTACACATGGTGGGCATTCAATAGCTATTAATATCCTACTGATCCCCTACTCACTCTGATAATGCAAACAGGGAAGCTAAACAACCTTGGCATACAGCTTGGCCAGAATGCCCAAACCTAACTTTACTTTTAATAATAATCATACCCACCATTATTACTTCCTTAGTTTCCCCTTTAGTCCTTACTCTGTCTTACTACTATTTAGGCCTTGGTGTCAAGAAACCATCTGAAATTCTTTTGTGAAAAGACATAGGCAACAACAAATCACTCTTGATCTATAATCTGCACTCATAAATTTGGCATATTGTGTAATTATGTTCAGCTAATAACAGATAATACAATTATAATACTATTTAGAAATAAGGCAACTCTCTAAGATAATGTTTATTTGATTATAAAATGATGCATATTAATAAATAATTTTATTGGTTATATCTCTATTATATTAAGGAAGGAACATCTACCTCTGGTTGAGACAAATGTAACAGGGCAGATTTATTCTCCCAAATGAACAAACAAAAAC